CCTCGTTTGTAATAAGTTTTATTGGTTTTGTCTTGCCGTGCTGGGAGACGGCACCACAGTGTGTTAAGGGGCGTAACATTTCCGTCACACGCTTGAGGTATTCGGCCAATCACAACACACTGGATAGCTGGCCAATCAGAGCACACCTCGCTTTTCAGAACGATGAGCTTTGAAAAATCGACGCGTTTCAGAAAGGCGGGGCATAGAGGAGAAACAATAATGTACAGTATGTGGAAAATAATGTGTTTTTTGAACCTTAAACCGCATATACATTTCATTACACCAAATACACCAAATAATGTTCTTTTTAGCAACGTCATATGTTTTAAAATATTTATAAATATTAAAATATTTTAAGTGTGACAGATGTTCAGTATGGTACCTGGAAACCTGCAAACTGGCTTGAGCCTAAAATCTACAAAACAGAGGCTTCGCATTTAGATTTCACCTGGGCTCAGGATGCTGTTCCGCTGATGCTTGCCGTTGCAATTTAGCTCCATGGAGACCAAAACCAAGAGAAACGTCCCTCCTGAGTGTTAATGTTGCACATGATAGTGCATTAGGCCGAGGCACCGTCAGCTGTCTCTACAAGAAACCAGAGGCCTGGGGATGATGGCAGTCCTCTCTCTGAATCCTCTGGAGGGGGATCTGCAGGTTCAGAGCAGCAAGAGACGCAATGAATGAACAAGAAGTGAAGGGCATGACCTCACTCTTTTATTTTAGATTTGGCGTCTGTAGCTCTGTTCCCCAATCTGAGCCGCCTGGTTGTCTGTTGCCTACATAAGAAGATACTTTCTAAGGGGCCATTCACACAGACCGCGTTTTTGTGTTTTAAAATGTAAAACACAGGGCAGTGGGAAAAAAGACACAAAGTCTAGACAAACTTTTTTGAACTTCTTCGCCACATTCAAAAACGTCTGTCTGGCACATTTACATTGAAATACAGTGGAAAGCAAAAACACACACGGAATGCTTTTTGTTTTTTGCACCTAAAAATGCAAGACATGAGGCAGTGGAATGAAAAAAAAAATGCAAGGCCTAAAAAACTTTTTTTTAAAGTTTTAGAAAGTTTTTTTTCAAGAATTTTAGTTAACTCTTAACTAAGCACTGTGTTTTTAGAATGCCATGGCATATGTGAGATGATGCAAAGGACGCGAACACAACGATCAAAAACATTTGTCTAACGCATGTTTACGTAGAAAAACAATGGAAAAGTAATGGAGTGGAATGCAAAAAATGCAAGACGCATGGCTGTGGAATAAAACTAGTTTTAAATTGAGCAGCCCATTTTTATGATGCATAAGACTCTGCAAAAAATGAGAGACGGGATCTGTCTAGTACACATGAATGGCCCCTACATGTTTTTGCATTTAAAAAACATGAGACACATGGCAGTGGGATGTAAAAAAAATAAATAAAAAATAGGTATATAGACACGTTTTTTAAAAGTTGAACTTCTTTTAACTTGAGCACCACATTTTTTAGTACACCGTGTCATGCAACACTGCAAAAGTAGCTTATGTAATGGTCAAAAATGTCTGTCTTGTGCATGTTTACACAGAAGTACAATGGAAATGTAGCACAGTAGAATGCATACAAGCGTTCGTATGGCGTATGACAGTGAATACATACTGTATATAGTTGAATACATTTTGAATTAAAGGGGTCATGTGATGTTGCTAAAAAGAACATTATTTTGTGTATTTGGTGTAATGAAATGTGTTTATGCAGTTTAAAGTTAAAAAAACACATTATTTTCCACATACTGTACATTATTGTTTCTCCTCTATGCCCCGCCTTTCTGAAACGTGTCGATTTTTACAAAGCTATCCAATGTGTTGTGATTGGCCGAATACCTCAAGCATGTGACGGAAATGTTACTCCCCTTACCATACTGTGATGCCCTGTCATAATGACAGGTGAGTTGTACTTAATATTAGAGCAGTAAAATTTAATTAAAATCTGCTTGTGCAATTTGTTACAATAATTTTTTTAAGTAAATCTTACAAGTTTTTTTTTTCAGTGTAGGCGTGGCTGACTGAACTTTTATAAAGAATATCTCTTTGGATTTGAGACTTTAGTCTTTGCAACTTTACAGATCTTCTTTATGCACCAAGAGCTTGTAACACTCCAAAGAGAAAGGAAAAATTGAAATCACATCATATGACCCCTTTAAGAGAAGCTTTCGTGTGGTGTGTGGTTTCATTTCAGTCCAGATGTTTCCTTGAAAGAAAACTGCCTAAGTAGCCTGTAGATACCAAGGCGGTTCACAAAATTTTGGAACAGAGCTATTGTGTGCTTGTATATCTAAATAAAATTGTGGCCTATGACACAAAAACCTTTGCCTCAAATTATATAGTTACTGTCACTGCTACATTCAGACATCCGATAAGATAACACATCCAAGTAGTGAGCGACTCAGAGCGAGTGTGCAAGAGAGCCACAGACTGTGTGTGTTTGCATGCTGATCATTTCAGAACATGCTGTCCTGGGACTTAATTATTCCACACACAGCCACGTCACTCTCACTGAAGGAACACTAATTGGGGGAATCAAAACACACAACAACGTGCACAACTCCCCGTGCTACATAGAGACCTCAGCTGACTGCCATGAGCAATGTCACTGGAACAGCCCAGCAGATGTGCCTTTCAGTTTTCGCTTCTGATGCGAGTGCTCGCTGGTCCCATGGCAGACTGGTTGCACGTTATGCTCTGTTTGTTGGTTTGTTGTTTGTTTTCATCTATAAAGGTGTTACTGAAATCTACTTGCAAAGAGTTGTGGGGCTGTAGAGGGATAATACAGTACTGATTTATTTATTTATTTTATAGAAAGCCGGATGGAGTCCACTGCACATGTGCTAATGATGTTAGCACTAAGGGGAACATCAGGACTGTTTAACATGTTCAGAGAAAGGAGGCGACAATATCTGGCATCCAGTATCAAAGAACAATATCCAATATTCGCATAAAACAATAACCTGTTTAATTCTTTGGTATTGGTATGTGTTTATGTGTTGTGCATTATGTGTGAGAACAGAACTAAGCTCTCTTACATTCTGCTCATGTACTGCAAGGCAGGGTTATTATAGTTAACTAAAAACCATAGAAAACGTGTGTGTATACACTGTTATCCCTGAAATTGTTTTAATTCAAAATATTTAGATACAATAAACATAAACTCCAACATTTTTGCAGAAAGTAACATTTCCCATTTAGTTTAATTTGATGTACTAAAATAACTAAAACTGAAAAATTTATAAAAACGGTATAGATGTTAAAAAACACAACAAAATGACTAAAACTTTTAAATTAAAATGAAAATGGAAATTACAAAAAATACAAAATATTAAACAACTATAATTAGTATGTCAATTATACTAAAATAACACTGCTGCAAGGTTCAGTACCAGACAGAAGATATTTTGTGTGTGTGCTACATGATTACACCTTTTATTTATTTATTTATTGTATTGTATTGCATCTAAAATTATTCTAGCGCAGGGGTTTTTGAACGTTTTAATGGCATGGACCCCCAAATATGACAATGTCCTTGTAAATACCCCCTCTCTTAAAATATGAAAGCAACTATATATTCAGATTTAAAAACCCATATACAACAGGAAATACAATTTAAAAAAAAAATTTAATTAAATAATAAATAGTTATTATGAAAAAATGAAATATAGATAAAATATAAAAATACAAAATTAGCTAAATTATTGTCTAGAAAATATCGAATCACACACACACAAATAGTGCAAAATACAATTAAGATTGAAATATAAATAAATAAAAAAATTAAAAAGGCCATACATAAAATGAATATTAAATCAAATGTAATATAAATACAAAATTAACTAACTTATTATCTAAAAAATATTGACTTTGTATGAACCTGAGGAGAAACAATTTAAAATAATTTTCATTGCATTCATTTGTATAACTTTTTTTTTCTTACAGTAATACATACGCACTTTCCAGAGCAGTTTTACACTTTGACAACCATGAAAAAAAGAAAGAAAATAATACAATAATAAAAAACTAATTTTTTGTCTTTTCCACGTACCCCCTAGAATCCCTTTGCACCCCCTTGGAGTCCCTGGACCATAGTTTGAAAACCTGTGGTCTACAAAAATTATTATACAAAATTATTATTATGTATAATTATGACTAAATTCAAATAATTAATTCAGCATAAACTTTTCACTTTTTCATTCAGGAAAAAACACCAAAAATATAGCAACAGGAAAATGACAACATGAAGACACACACACAGTTCAAAACACTTCACTTAGCTGTAACACCAAGCGATAGGCCTGGGCCCTGCAAAAAGGCCTCCAAAACAAAATAGCAACAACAACTACTAGAGAATAATAAAATGTCTGAATATGGTATCTAACATTAGGAGATAACTGGGTCGTGCTAACCCACCAAACCTTGGCCACTTGGTCAACACACAGTCAAGAAAACTGCAGCGGTTGAGCCATTTACTGGGGTTTGTCAATGTGACGTGTGTCATTTCAGCACAGCTAGTGCCACTAAATGGAATTGGAAAAACAATGATGTTTTTCAAACAAGTTTTTTCAAACGCTCCATATGTCCTCCATCTGTCATGAGTCACACAAACAGTCTGTCCCTCAACGCTATTAATTCAGCCAAAAGTTGACATATTGGGCCGGTCAAAACAAACACAGGGGTCAGAGCAACAGTGTTTACACATTTTGGGGAAATCAACTTACTTATAGTTGACTCTGCATTTTAAGCTGGGATTGATAAAGTATTTCACCTTTAAATGGAGGCAAACATCTTTTTTTTCTGGAGGGAGAACATTTTAAGATACATTTGTGAATTTATAATATATGTTTCCTGTATTTTTGTAATTCAACTCACCTGCCATTTTGAAGTTTATGATATGGTAAATGTAGGCCGCAGTTCTGTCGCCCTCTACTGGACTAAACGCGCGACTACACGAGCCGTCAACACGCGATGTTTAGTCGCAAAAAAGAAAAAAGGAAGTGTCGTGAGGAATCTGCTTAGCGGCAGCTGTACACACATACACGTGTATCCAGAGGTGTTGTGAAGATATATGTAAGTTACACACTGCAAATATAAATACAGCTTTAACACAGCATAAATACTGAAGTCCGTATTGTCAGTAATTACGCCTGTGAGCGGTGTTTGTACGTTATGTCTATTAAAATAGCTATTTTTGCATAACGTTACATGAAATGGCTAACAAACATCTTAGTTTTCAGCTAATTTTTTTTTACACAGATCTCTTGCATCTGGATATATTTAAAAGCATGTGGGTGATCGGTTATGTAAGATTATGAATAATCATTGTAATCGGGTCATGTGTAGTCTGTATCAGTGCTTTTAATCATGCTTATGGAGTGACCGACATTTGCACATTTGAGGTGTTTCAATAGATTTAGTTCATGGAGCTTCTCTAATAAAGAAATGAAGAAGTGAATCAGGTGTTCAATGATGTAGACCCCCAAAATGGTTATGGAAAATGTGGAAATATCAACGAAACATTGTGTTCTCCAGACTAGGGGGAATATATATATGTATATATATATTCCCTCCTATATGTATATATACACACAAAATACCTTTTTATGATTTTATTTTTATTATTACCTTTGTCTTCTCTCCTCAGTTTCCATCAGGATGGCAAAGAGTTTGCGCAGCAAGTGGAGGAGAAAGATGAGGGCGGAGAAAAGAAAGAAAGTTGCACCCAAAGAGCTGGCACGACTCAAAACAGTGCTGGGTCAGGGAGAGAAAGGAGAGATCACCATGAAAGATGTCGCTGAGATCGCCACCGTTGTGCCACCTGAGAAAGTGAAGAAGCCAGAAGATGTTGAGATGCAGAAAGAAGATGGTGAGCTTTCATAGAAACATTTAGCAATTCGGCTTTTCACTTGTGTTTTACCATGTTAAATGCAGATCTGTTGTTGCTTTGCAGCGGATGGTGGAAAGATGGATTTAGACACTAAACGCAATAAAAAGACAATGTTGGACGATCAAGGACGGTATCCGGTCTGGATGAACCAAAGGCAAGTGAAGAAGGTGAAAGCCAAACGTACGGCTAAAAAAGGAAAACCTAAGATTAAGAAGGGGCTCGCCTGGTAGATGAACTGATCTGCTTGTGCACGGACATTATTCCTGTCACAGCTGTACAGGAGCCTTGCTGTGCATCTTTTTATTTTACGTTTATGCAACCTTGAGCAGAAAAATACTTTAGTGTTTTTGCAGTTGTGAAATGTAATGATCTGTTAATGGTTGTGGGTTCTCGTTGAGAATGAGCAATGTAATTGGGATTCAACATCATGATCAAGGCTTTTCACTAGTTCACTAGCTAATATGGAGGGGAGGGGGAGTGAGACACTGTAAGTCATCTGCATTCACTGTATTACACAACTGACTCTTCCAATGAAATATATATATATATTTTCCCTCTCTACTCTGTTGGTCTGCTTTACTTTGTAGTTGTGAAGTATTAGGTATTTTCTTTGTTGGCAGATAATTATGGATGAGCTTTTGTTTTCCACTTAATAAATCAAATATACCTTTCTGGGGGATTTAGTTTTATTTTGTGGTCAACAAAAATGCACAACATTAAGTCAGTAAAGAAACAAGCATAAGCCAGTGGCTTGTGTATCTCTATAAGGCAGCGTGGTATACTTTTACAATTAATCTCTGCACCAACCAAAAACAGCAAACAACCAAAAATATTAGCAAATTTGTAAATCTTCATATTGCATGCATAAAGGTTTAGAAAGCTGGTAATTGATATAACATTCCTCATTTAAAACTATTAACAGCATTTCACAATTACTTTGTAATGATTCTCCATGTAATATTTATGACATCTGAGAGATTAAATGGAATATTTGCACTTTTAAAAATCCGTTTTTCATATTGTAGGACTGGAAATCAACTAAACATGTAACTAATAGTGACTAGTTCAATATTTATTGAATGTTCTGTTATACACACTGTATCGTTCAAATGTCTGGGGCCAGTAATTCATTTTTAAATAAATGAATACTGTAATTTCAGAAAGGATGCATTAAATTGATCAGAAGTAACAGAAAAAAATGCATGTTACAAGATTTCCATTTCAAATAAAGTCTGTTGCTTATGAATTCACTATAAATCAAAAAAAATCCTTAAAAACTCTTTTCAACATTGAGAATAATATAAAATGCTTTTTACGTACCAAATTAGCACATTAGAATGATTTCTGAAGGATCATGTGACACTGAATACTGGAGTAATGATGCTGAAAATTCAGCTTTGCATCACAGGAATAAATTGCATATTTTAAATATATTGAAATAGAAAATTAAATTGTAATAATATTTCACAATAATATTACTGTATCTTTTTAATCAAATAAATGCAGCCTTGGTGTGTAAAAGAGACTTTTTGCAAAAACATTGCAAAATCTTACAGACCCCAAAATTTTGAACGGTAGCGTGTATGATCATACACATTTTAATCTAATATCTTTATGAAGAAAAAAAAAATCAATGTCCATGTTAACTGGTTACTAACCATGTGCATTGAATGGACAGTTTTGCTCAGCTAACAGATCCAGGCTCATTAAAACAACCAAAAAGAACTCATTTTCAGCCAGATTCAAATGTTCATTCTGTACATGTTAGTATATTGCACATGTCATAAAAAATGCAATAATAATAATAGTCTGCAAGTGGCTAATAAACACAAATTTGATCACTGATTATTAGCAACTAATTGAGCTCCACAAAAGTGGCAGGAAACAGGCCTGTGCGACCATGACACGTTCCTTTCCACCAACCCTCATCCACCATCTCAACGCTAGTGATGGTGTCACCTGGCATGAAGGAGATCTCGTCACTGGCCTCTGCAAAAGTATGATATTCATAATACACAGCAGACTAAACAACAACAAAAAAAACCTCAACAGAAATAAATTACGTAGCTCTGCAGAGTCAGTTAGGAAGCAATGTAATAAAATACAATGTCAATGAGGTATCAATCAGTTGCTATGGACTGTAAACGTACCTCCTTGGTAGTCATAAATGGCCGTGGCTGTGTTTCCTGCCCCACTTAGATCTTCATAATCATTATCATTATCAGCAGCTGTTGAAGAAGCCAAAAAAATAAATGAGGAATTACAGCTGTTAGCAATCATAAACATAATCACAGCTGTTATAATTAGAACCATCTACTTTTTCTTAATGTGGCTTTGATTCCCACAGTGAACACATGTAGTAAATGTTTATGCATGTGTCAAACCTGCAGTAGCATATGAGCCAATATCCTCATAATCTTCTTCCTGAGGTACGGGGACGGGAACACATTCATCGTAAGTTTGCTCCTCCTCCTCCTCCTCCTCTTCAATCAGGTCAGCTGAGCGGGGCGGCAGTAATGGCGGCTCCTCATATTCAGGCTGCTCCTCTATCTGAAACACACACTGAGCAGATGAGGATCAATTCTTTCAGTGTATGTGCTTAGATAATACTGTTAAAAATACAGTTTTGGAAGTGAAAAAGAAAAAGTCATTGTATAATTTACAGTGAAAAAACGCAAATTGACACTCCCAGAATTCCCTGCTTGATATTTCACATTTGATGTTTTTTTGTTGTTGTTTCTTATATATTTTATATATAAATTTATTATATTCCCTTAGATATTTTTTTTCTTATCAGTTGTGTACATTATGGTTTTTATCTTGCATCTAATGTTGTTTAAAGGCACAATATGTAAGATTTTTTTATTAAAATATCCAAAAACCACTAGAACAGTGTTATATATTTTGCTGACTTGTGTACTTACATTATCCCAAATGTTTCGAAGAATGTTTAAATCCAGAGAAATAAGCTATTTTAACTAGTGACACGGAGTGTGTCCATAGTGTCATTGTGTCGCCTGCCAATGACGTCATAACCCCTCAATTTCCGGTTTTGTTTTGTAGAAAACATGGAAAAACCAAAGACGCTTTAATGGCTGTGGGGATGAAGACCACAACTCCCATGATTCCACACCCAGTCACGGCGTCATCTAACTACGCCTTTGTCTCTTTGTTTATTTTGAATACGCGCCCTCTAGCGGCGAAAATTACATATTGTGCCTTTAATGAATGTTTATTGCAATATTTCAGTATCACGTGTGTTACCATGATGGTGTTTAGTATTTGTGTAAATGACACTGTGCACCTTCTATATATTAGTATTTACCTCCCCAGCTTGTGGAAAAGCTGTTTGTGATGAGCTCTGATTCATCTTGTGACTTTCTCATCTCCACTTGTTTTTGGTAGTTATCAGTGTATTACAATGTAACAAAACAGGTATCAGTACTTCAATTGGTTGATATAATAACATTACAACAATGTTTTTTTATTGTGAATTTAAGTGAAGTCTGTAAAACCTAAAATGTTGCTACCATATTTTTTACAGTGAAGTTCTGGCAACCACAGCTGCTGGTATTTTAGCGTAAATGTCACCGATTTTTCTTTTTTTTCTTATTATTGTTGCATAATAATAAGTTATGAGCAAAAATAATAGTGATAGTTGTAATAATCCTTGAATTAAAGCGGTAATATTCTGCACTTGTACAATTTAAATGACCATTTTTTGAACTTTCTGTCGCCCTTAAGGTGCAGTCACATTAGCGAATTTTCATCAAAATTTCGAAAGCAAAAAGGTTGTGTATTGTCAACAGTGTAGCAATGTATGAAGCACAGCTCACATCAAAGTCACTTTTAAACCAAGCAGATTTCTGTTGGTCAGTGTGTGCAATTTGTGTAACAAAACTGTTACCAAATCAGAATGGGGAAATCTTTCACCCTCAGACAGAATTCCAAATCGTGTGGGTTCATATTAAAATGGATTTCGCCCACAAAAATGTGATGAACAATGCTAAAAGTGACCGCACCTTTAGAATTTAATACTGTACCTTTAAGACTTCAATATGTAAATGACCCGTTATGATTGGCTGGTCTGTTTGCATGTGAAATTAGTAATAGCAGTCCCACCAAGTTACTGAATAAACATTTATGTATAAATTTGTGCATCAGTATGTTAAAGGGAAGGTTCCCCCCCCCCCAAAAAAAATGAAGCCATTATTTACTCACCCTTGTGTTATTCTAATGCCATATGCCCTTCTTGCTTTTTTAGACCGCAAAAGGAGAAATTTAAAGAAATGTCCTGTTTGCGCTCGTCCATATAATGGCAGTGAATAGCGACCAGCATCATGTGGCGTTTTTATGAATCTAGATTTCTTACAACTTGTGTGATTATTCTGGATGAGTCGGAGTGAACTGCTGCACTAATGAGAGTCTCAAGAACATGTAGCCGTGCACAGAAATCAACAGCCAAGGTCGGGATTTTCTTTAAATAATACATTACATTTCGGTATGTTTTTCACTAAACCCTATCGTATACCCTCTGAACACTTGGAGCTTATGACATGTCGCATGGGACCATTCTGTGATAATTTTGTGTCTTTTTTTTAAAGCTTGATGCTGGTCACTATTCACTATATTCAACTCATGTACAAGAGGGAGCAGAACATTTCTTTAAATTTCTCTTTTTTTTGGTCTGAAAAAGCAAGAAGTGCATACAGCATTAGAATAACACAAGAATTAATAAATGACTTAATTTTCATTTTTGGGTGAATTATCCCTTTAAAGTGCTCATGGTTGTGATGTCACAATGTGTTCCATATATGGTCTGCGGAGGAGTTTTGCATTGTAAACACATTAGGGTATGTTCACAATAGGGGCAGTTATGGCCTAATGGTTAGGGAGTCACACTTGTAACCCTAAGCCCCAATTGCTCCCCGGACACCACAGCAAAAAAGGCTGCTCACTGCTCTGGGTGTCTTCAAAAGACCAGTGAAAATATAACAAAAAAAGTCTTGCCTGAGCTTCTTCCTCTGGTTCATCTCTGGGAATTTCAGGCAGTTTTCTGAATGTCTCTGGGGGATTGTGGGATGCTGGCACAGGTGGAGGTCTCTGGTTCTCTTCCTCCTCTTCACACTTGCTCTGCTCCTTAAGAAAGATGATGACCAGCATTACAAAGTGTTCTTTAGTGTGTGAAAAAGAAAAGGCTGTTGTGTGTGGTTGGGCTATCTATTGTTGTCATGTGTTTCTATTAAAAGTGCAGCAAGCATGTCTATATATATATATATATATATATGGGTATTAAGACAAATGTGAACCTCCTGTTTTCGTTGTGCCTCTTCCCGTTCTCTCTTCTCTCGAGCAAGTCTTCTGGCTCTCTCCTCATCTGCTCTCTTTCTATTCTCCTCATCTGAGGCCTTCGCCATGTTCTCAAATCGAGCCTTAAGGTTTCCAGCTCCTACACTTGCTATAAACACCAGGAAGAGATGAGCAAGAAACTACTGAGTCCCTGAAAAGTATATAGACCCTTAATCAACACATTTAAAATGTATGAATGCCACTGCATTACTACTCAAAAGCAACACTTCAAATGTAATATTTCCATAGACTTGTACAGCAAACACTCACAGGCCTCGAAAGCCTGAGGCTTCTCATAAGATGATGATGGTGACTCCATATCACTGAATGAAGCTGCACTCTGTGGAAAAAAATAACTCAATGTACATTCACTGGGAAACTGTCAAATATTTGCTGCAAACCAAATTAATGTATGAATCCTGTTTCTGCCTCACAGTAAAAAAAAAACCTGAGCATTAAATATATTATATATATA